AAAGTTACTCAAAAAAGGCTTGAAAGTTGGAACTTTAGCTTTTTGTAGGATTTACTCAAAAATTAAAAGGAGTCCCATAGCTTGTGGTTAAGTTTAAAAACTCCGCATGCTTCTAAATTACCAAAAATCATAAAAAAATAGTACTTAATCAGCCTATTTTTGTAGTAATTGGTCTTCGAAGGCGGATAGGCTAAAAATCATTGAAACACGATTAAAGTATTTAAAATTATTTAATCTATTTTTTATCATTGTTATGGTAAATTAAACTTAAAAATGTAATTTCAAATTAAATTTAATTGACATTCCTGTAAAATACTTTAGCGTGTGTAATTTTACAATAATTTCGGTTTCATCGCTATTCTCAAAGGTCCGTTAGAACAGTAAGTGCGAGTGAGCACCTCCTTATTATTAAAGAGTATTGCACCTCCTTGTAGCGTAAAATTGTGACTGTGACGTCGTATTAGTCTAGTCTAGTGTTAAGACTGCTCTCGTCTACGTTATTTTCTCTCCCTTGAACTACTAACGCTGTGTTGACTGGACTCTGATTTGCTTCACGATTAATTGTGTTTCAGACCCTGATTTGCCTTACGAACTACGTTTTTAATAGTTCAGAAAAAAAATATAACTCGAAAACTAAGAAAAATTGCGGAGCATACATGGGGTATGTTAGGATATCCCAGGTGCGAGGAATCTAAAAAAAAATTGTTGATGTCACTAGTTGGAACATCCTGTATAGAGGCTTGCGGTACTGAGGAGCTCTAGCCAGAGTGGATAGAACTCAGGGACGTAACTACTAATTAAAAGATACTGGTAGAGATAAGTTATTTTATATTTGATTCAGGCGAATATAATTATTTTTATCTAACTACGAGAGGTTTGGTTGGTGCCTGAAGATCTTCTCTTGAATGGAACCTTCTATCAAAAGACAGACGATCCCTTATTTCAAATCTTAAAATCATGACATTAACTTTTTAATATAACTGCCAACCGTAGGCATTGCAAAAGCAAAGAGTTTACCTAAACAAGGAGGCTGCAACGTCACGGACGTTACAGTACCGTACAGTATCCCTGAGTTTAGTCTACCTAAACCCCAACCCTTACCCCGCAGAACCGTGGAACCTTACTTAAGCATAACAGCACTCAAAGGCACTGTTTGTTTTTACGAGGAGCACAATGGCGCAGGTGATAACGCGTTTGGTCAAATCTCCCTATTCTATCCATAGGGAAGGCCTGTGCCCCAGCAGTGGGGACATTAATAGGCTGATGATGATGATGTTTTATGTTAAAAATGTGGCAACTTACCATATGGCCCGACTGATGGTTTATACCATATGCCAACCATGGCTTATAGGTGAGGTTACTTGCTTAGCGAGCGCTCCAAATTCCAGCGGGAAAACTGCCCTACCTGTTTCGTGATCGTAGCCGTCCTAAAACGTATTTTACAAGTTACGTTATTTAAAATCAAAAGGTAGGTATTTACAGAAATGGTTATTAGCATCGTTATGTAAAATGGGGACTTTACTTACCGCTTCAGATATGAAGATCTTACTAACAAGGTAGGTATTGTAAGTAAGTATAATTTGTTCTGCAATTTACTACGTATTTGGTTGGTTCTTGACCCGAACACTATCTAAAGGAAAAATGTCTTAAATAAATAACTGATGCTGAGGGATTCACCATTTACACTTGATGATGCTTCTCTTTTGCCGTCGAGAGACTGATAACAGAGACTTGAAGCGTCTTCGTTACGCGGACCATGAGTTCGGAAAGACCCGGACATATTTATATGTAAAAAAAGAAGTGAAAACGTGACAAGCAATTATCTAGATTTGTACGTACACATTGCATTTAATAACATCTTTTACTAAGAAATAACAAGGAAAATTCAGACTCAGATCGTGCATATATCGAGCTGTTGGGGATAATCAAATATCAATTAGAAATCGACTCGTGTCGAGAAAATAATAATGTCATTATTATTATGTTGTAATTATTTATGTCGTTAAATAATTTAATCGCTGATATGTAGTGCACGCGGCGCTAGAATAGATAAAATAATAAATACTTATAACGGATTTTTTGTTATGATATTCGTAATTAGTGATTTTTAAATCGTCATAAATACTTGAAAAATTATGAACTAATCATGTCATTAGTATTATTATTGTTAATCTAAATTTCAATTTGTGTGATGCCGCATTAAGATTTTGCATTATGGATCTAAGCTGTGCTAATAAAAAATCGTGTAAGTTAATACAAAGCAATGTAGGTACATATAATATTGTGGGTTACCTACAATGCGAAGAGATGGCGCTGCCTTGCAGCCTAAGGCTAGAGAAAATTCGACACGGCTGTCTGGGCTGCGGTAGTATAATGTTCTGTGCATTTGCCCGGATAGTGACGGGTCTGGTTCGAGTCTCGTCTGCTACCTGGTCCGGGTAGAGTTATTGCTAGTAAACTTTTCTTTAGATTTAAACATCTAGCAGTTAAATGCTTAAAAAAAACAGAGCTATAAAGCTATGTTTAATTATATTAGTAAGTATAGGTAGAAATATGCGTTTGAAATATTTATGAATGTAGGATGTCCGCTATCCAACTGAACGCTTATTATAAGGCTAAGTAACGATAGGCTACTGCCACAAGCTTAGATACATTGTAGCATTACCAGCTGCAACAGTAGTTTTGCAATAGGCTTAATCATTCATTAATTACTGATCGAGTAATATTGACTCATTGTAGGCTTAGCTTTAGTACTTGACTATGAAAATTACTCGAATTCGGAGTTTCTTAAGTGGAACAATTTATTTTACTAACTTATTGACTCCAAATGAGATTAAGTGATTGTGATAGAGTTATCGACAGGAAAATACACCTATAAAATTTCGATTGGCTAAACCTAATGATGCAATAGTTATCTGGAATTAACACTGTAAATTACTTCTTACATGTACATATGACATTCAAAAGTCAACTGCACACAGATGTCACAGAAGTAATATTTTTGTTTTATTGACAAATTAAGCAAAAGTTACGTTGCATTTATTAATTCACAATGGACTCGTGTTGCCTGTTCTTCCAATGTCAATCAATCGGGAAGAGCTGTATTTGCCTCAGCAGTGAGCACATCAATAGGCTGGTGGCGTGAATATATCACGAAGGCTTAAGTATTCATACCTATCATTATCATTAAGATCCTATTAATGTCCCCATTGCTGGAGCACAGGCCTTTCCTATGGATGGAATACGTTGATTAGGCCCTGACTCATCACGGGGATCATGACTGCAGATGCAGCCGGGATCAATGGTTTAATGCTTAATGTGCCTTCTGAAGCACGGAGGAGCTAGAGATAGTAAATTTTTGGTCAGCAATCGAATGTCCCTGCAAAAGTTGATAATCTTAACGAGTCGCAATTGAAAGTGATAATTACATGCGCCATCGAGCTCTTCAATACATAATATAATATGGTAACGAATTATATACAAGACTGGAATCGGAAGTAAGCCACTTAAGTAAACCTCAATCGTTAACTTCCTGCGCTCATAGTAAGTAAGCATTTATCAACGCACAGAGTTTTAATAAACTATTGTAACTTGACAATGAACTAGTAAACTGGCGCTGTTGTTTATACTTTAATATCTTAGGCACAACAAGTGCCGTTGGCATCGTTGATATATCTATTTGTATTCTAAAATTATTGAATGTAAATAAAGCTTTTTGATCAAATTAAGATTGTTTTTGCTTGGAATGTTTGATAATGAGATAGAACTAGTTTAGTGCAACGATGCCCCGAAGCATGAGCGGAGCCCTTTCCTATAACATTCCTTTAGGTCAAGTTATTGAACGATAAGGCCGAAGTTGTGTAACTTTTATATGTCCAATGATAATGACAGTTATTTGTATATTGTGCAACAGCAGTTGGCCCTAGTTGTTTGTTTTTAGGTAACAGTGTCCCATTTTTATACAATAATTGTACTCATTGATTTAGCAAAAATGAATTTTAAATGCTACAGCTAATGATTGATCTTGATTTTAATTGACTGATCCCAGACAAAACTGAATTAAAAAAAAAATTAACAACTTTGAAAAGAAGGAAATAAATATTTTTCAAAAAATGCAAGTAAATCACTACCTAACCTTTATTAACGGTCAAAAGTGTTTTTAAGGTAAATATTCTTTTTTTATATAATTTTATTATAAAAAATTTACTTTCAGCATTTTACATCTAATAAAAAAAATAGTGGACAAATATTTCACATCCTATCCTACTAATGTTATAAATGTGAAAGTTTGTATTTTTGTTATTCAATTACGCAAAAAGTGCTAAAAGATTTGGATGAAATTTAGTACGTATTTGAATAATTATAATCTGTTTTGTTGTTAATTTTTCTAGTAAACTTTTCTTTAGATTTAAACATCTTGCAGTGAAATGCTTAAAAAATAAATAAAATCATAACTATAATTGCTATTTCTTCTTTCAAATGTTTAATACTTGAAAAAGTATTCATTTGACATTGTGGGTTACCTACAATGCGAAGAGATGGCGCTGCCTTGCAGCTTAAGGCTAGGAAAATTTCGACGCGGCTAATAGGACCGTGGTAGCATAATGGTCAGTGCATTCGCCCGGATAGCGAAGGATGCGGGTTCGAGTCCCGTCCGCTGCCTGGTCCGCGTGGATTTTTTTCTAGTAAACTTTTCTTTAGATTTAAACATCTAGCAGTTAAATGCTTAAAAAATAAATAAAATCATAATTATAATCTGATTAAGACATAAGATACTTTTTATCCAGGATAAATTTTAGGTTTCTGTGGGATACCCAAAAAACTAACGTTAACGCGGACTAAGTCACGGGCGGCCGATAGTTAAGATATAAGTATAAATCAAGCTACCTTTTTAGGGATATAAAAAAGGATATGTTGCACATTTACGTAAAGATATAAAATTTATTTCAATCAAGCAATCAAAGAATTAAATACTTATAAAAAAATCGAATCATATTAATCTTCATTCAAACTTCTCCTCCTTAGTTTAAGATACAGAAAGTTCAAAAACTCGATCGCTTTATAATTACCATTATAATAACGAGTAAAATATTAATAGGAACAAGCTCACGGTTTCCAGACGCATTCATGTCCCACAACTAATCAGTGAGTTGGTCACCCTACTGCGCACGAGTGGCGCGAGCGCGTTTTGACGAAAAATCTGTGCATATAAACAGACGCCGGCGCAACCAACGTGCACACATCAAATACACGGGAGCATCGATCGATCGTCGATCGAAAATTTAATCCATACTTATAATAGTACAGTTCAGTGTTTCAGTGATTTAATTTGATCAAAATGAAGTTGGAAAACACCATTACCGCTGAGAACATAAACAGGAATCTCTTGAATGTGAACTATGCCGTGCGGGGACCCATCCTGGATCGCGCCATGCAGTTGGAAAGGGAATTAGAGAAGGTAATTTTTTTTATGTTTAAAAGGTGGCAAAAGTGCTTTGTGGCATGCTTGATAATAAGCGGCTACCATAGCCTATAGACGTTTGCCACATCAAATATCTTCCTACCCTGATCCAATCCCCTACCTAGGCTTGTTGAAAATATATCGATGTATCGATATATCGATATTTTTTGCCGATATATTTTGATTCGATATATCGATACATCGATACAACATAACCAATATCGAAATTCGTATCAAAAACGATATTTTTTTAATTATTAGCGGCATATCACGATCTAACTAAATTCGTATCTGGAAAAATCGTAACTGGATCTCAGATTAATGATATTCAACATATCTATGATCTGTGCTGTATTTAGTATTGTCTATGTCACCATTCGAAAATAGGGTCTATTTTTAGGGAGATAATTTTCGTTCCATTATTATTCCGCGTGTCATATTTCGTGAGCTACTGTACGATATTTTTGGGAAAATTGGTCCGATATATCGATGTTTTTTTCGCGATATATCGAAGCCGATATTGATATTTTTTAAAAGATCGATGTATCGATATATCGATATTTTTTCAACTTTCGACATCCCTACCCCTACCCCGTGGAGCCCTGGAGCCTTACTCACCGACAGAAACACAACACCACCAAAAGGGAGTGTAAGTGTCCTTGGTCTTCTGTCAGGTGGAATTTACTTCCCCAGACGGACGCTCCAATTCGAGCGGCAATCCGCTATGCCCTACCTCTCATAACTTACCGGATGATTAGTTGATAAAAGTTTAAGGATATTACGAATTTCCCGTTGGAATTGGAGCGCCTGGCTGGGGTAGCATCCGCTTACAGAAACCGCAGTGACAATTAAATTATTTCTTTCTTCGTCTTCGTATCATTGGTATCACATAATTGGTCAGTGCATTCGCCCGGATTGCGAAGGGCCGCACCCTTCGCAATCCGGGCGAATCCCGTCTGCTGCCTGGTCCGCGTGGATTTTTTTCTAGTTATATTTTCTTTAGATTTAAACATCAAGCAGTCACATGCTTTAAAATAATAAAAATTATAACTATTTCTTTCTTTTTCTATTCTGTTTGTGAGTCCACCATGACTAGGGCTCCAGGAGGTAGGGCTTCAGGCCCCCAAAGATAGGATGGCAATAGCGGCATGTTTATTTAAATTGACTTTATTCAAAAAGAGCTTTAACCGTTTTTTGGACTCAGGCCCGTATTACAGAATAACAACTAAGTGTTGATCTTTACTTGAGTACAGTTAGAAAGGAATGTCGCTATGTGCTATATATAGCGACATCCCTTTCTAACTATGCTCAAGACTAGATCAATCACTGAGAATCTTTCTATAAAAGGGGCTAAGAGTGATTTGAATTAGCAATGTGGATATTGTTTGTTAGTAAAAGTTCCAATGAAAAACATGAACATTTTATGAACAAATCACAACGTAATTTGCGCTCTCGCTAAAAAAAGATTTTAAAAAAATACAAACACGCGAAATACATTCCGCCTTCGTTAATAAAAGTTTACTTAAACTCGGTTTTATTTAGTTTTTATAAAAAATGTAGTTTCTTTCTCGTGTAGCGAGAATGAAAGTATGCTAAAAATGTGATACAAAGTTACCAACTAAATCCCTCGAACAATACAACGCGCACTAAAAAAAGCATAATGTAATGAAAATTCTCCAGTGGAAAAATGCAAGAAAGGTGAAATATTTTTTGAAAATCTGTTTTTGACATACATTTTCAAAGATTGTATTGTTGTTCTTTTAAGTAAATAAATAAACGCACTTTTCTAAAATATTCGTAAATACATTTACTTATTTTCTCAAAGCTCGATGGCGCAAGTGGTAAGTGTGTTCGGCTGCGATTGTTGAAGTTAAACAACTTTCGCAGTGGTCGGTCATTGGATGGGTGACCCTAAGTTTACTATCTCGAGCTCCTCCGTGCTTCGGATGGCACGTTGTTAAACCGTTGGTTCCGGCTGCATGTGCAGTCGTTAGCACCCGCCAATCCGCACTGGGCCCGCGTGGTGGGTCATGGCCCAATCTCCCTATTCCACCTATAGGGAAGGCCTGTGCCCCAGCAGTGGGGACTTTAATAGGCTGGTGATGTGATGTGATTTTCTCATAGAGGGTGATAAAAAGTAAGGTCCCTCCTCCCTAAAGTAAGGTGAAAAGTACTTTGCTCCCTTAGTAAACAATCTACTATTTTCTGTTGTTAGTTAGTAGTAAGTAGAGGTTAAGTTATCCTAAACGAATTTGGATGAAATTTGGCACGCATGTAATTTATGACCAGGATTGAGACATATTGGATACTTTTTATTTATTTATTTATTTATTCATGGAAAACAAACAGCATGTTAAAACTAAGGATAAAACGAGATGATGTAACATTGATAAGCCTTATGCAGTTTTCACAAGTACAACTCAAATAAAATATACTTAATCCAATCGAGGCCGTAGATTAATTTAAAATTATATAAAAATAAAAACACAGTATTAAAAAATTAAGCATAAAGCCATACCCACAGAGAAAATGGTGATAGAAATATAAAGTAATTTAAATTAGGTTTTATTATTATTACTAGTGGCCCGCCCTCGCTTCGCTTCGGTGTAGAGCTGTAGTGTAAACTATACTTGTTGTTCTCAGGCTTGTGCTATAAAGAATGACTTTATTTATATAATTACACGTGTTATTGTGAGTCAACCATAAAAGATAGACATATGCTGTTGCGGGATATTTTTTAGACAATTTTATGTAGAATATTTCCGTCATACATGATTTCTATGTAACTTTAACCATTAAGGCTGCACCCGCGACGGAAGCTTAAAAAATGGAGTAACTTCTCCCGTTTTCCCAACATTTCCCTTCACTACTCTGCTGCTATTGATTGTAGCGTGATGAAAAGTATACTATAACCTGCCCAGGAGTATGAAGAATAATTGTACCAAGTTTCGTTAAAATCCGTCGAGTAGTTTTTGTTTCTATAAGGAACATACACACAGACAGACAGACAGACAGACAGACAAAAATTTTACTGATTACATTTTTGGCATCAGTATCGATCACTAATCACCCCCTGATCCCCCTGACCCCCTTTGAAAATATATTTCATGTACAGAATTGACCTCTCTACAGATTTATTATAAGTATAGATTAAAAAAATTACTATTCACAATCTTTTTGAAATAATTTTGTTTCGCCAGGAATACGTCCACATTACTTGAATAATTATTATTGAAATTTTGTTTTACTCTATTAAAGTAGGAATTCTGTCTATAAATTTATCTCCGAAAAAATACTCAGTTTCCTGTGGGATTCTCGAACAACTAAAGTTAATGCAGGGAAAGTCGCGGACGGCAGCTTAGCTAAGCTGGATAGGTAAACTTCCCGCGTAACATAGCGACATTTTGCCGTCTAATGGCGTAATGCATATCAAACTAATGTCTAAAATGGCAGCTACCGAAATCGGAAGTGAGATTTTATTTTACAGAATCGCTGTACTGAATTCGAATCTCTGTAACTATTTCGTAAGTTTGATGTTGTATGCTACTTATTACAGATTATGTACTTATTGGAACGAAGTTCCTTACGGCAGGCTTGGAGGGGATAGGGATTATGCTGCGCGACCGAACTGAAAAAAATGTGATAGTAAAACCGTAAGAAAAAATCCGTGGAAAAAAGTGCGTGGAATAAAACCGTTAAATGAGACGTGCGCAGGCGTGACAGTCGCATACACAAGCGAGTTTGCAATTTGTGTCGATTCTACATTAGCCGAAGGAACTTCGTTCCTACCTGGTGTCCCACGACACCACATCATTTTTGATTTTATTTAATATCGTCTGCATTTTTCTATTAGCCATTATATTCATGATTGTTGTCGTTGTTTTTAAGCATAGAGCAACACGGCTGACAAGGCCAGGAGGGGGGGATTAGGCATATACATATTTCCCCTTTGTCGGGTTGGCCATACAAACTGGGCATACAACGATACGTGTGTGCAGGATTTAAAGATATATTGTGTTATTGTTTACGACATTCACTCTACTACGGTTATAGTCTACGGTAACTACGGTGACAATCTGGTATTATATGCGTAAACGTTGAACTGTGTTTGTGTACATACTCTACCCGCAAAAAATACAGATTAATTTGAATAGTATTACGTCGCTATGGCTACTCCTTTACGTGTTGCTCTATGTTGTTAACATATTAAAAATGTTATATATCGCGCCAATTTCTAAATATGAATGAAAATTACATGCTGTGAAAATTGAAATGGCGACATGTGAACATGTAAGTGTATAATGAAATTAAAGATCAATCACGCAGTTGACATTTTATTTAAGAATTTCAACAACAAATTTTAATGAGGTCAACGATTGTCATTTTTATAGGGTGATTAAAGAATTATAAACAGAAGAAGTTGTCTTGATTGTAGCTTTCGGGATTCGAAGCCGGGTATTTTTAACAACGTGCTTAATCTCTTTTTCTGGGTCCTAATCATTAGGCCATCAATGTCATCATACAAGATAATTATTTTAAGTGCAAAAGGCATAAAGTTTTGAATATTTTTGAGTTTGAGAGGTTAATGCAATAAAATTGTTAAATCACCATTACACACACTAACTCGTATGACACAAAAACATGATTATAGATATATAAATACTATGATAAAAGAACTGTAATACCGTTCAAACTTGGAAAGGGCGAATTTCGGTCAATATAAGCAAAAAGAGTTTCTCCTCAAAGTCGCCCCGCGGTCGGCGGCAGACTGATTCGCAGCTGTCATAATAATTTGAAAGTTCGGGTAAATTGCCCTCTGAAGAATATTTGAACAAGTTGCCTGCATCAATCAGGGGCGTCGGCCGCCGCCAGAGGTGCCATGAATCTGCCAAGTCGCCGAATGAATCTATCTCACCCGAGGAGGAGATGGGGGGAGGGTGTTCCTGCGCGTAGATTATATAATACTAGTGGCCCGCCCTCGCTTTGCTTCGGTGTAG